CCACTCCCCCCCCCCACCCTGTTGCCTCTCCTTCTCGTTGGGTTCTTTGCCCCGCCGAAGCATGGACGTGAGCCTCTGGAGTGTCAAGCCGGCCGGCACAGACCCTAACGTAACGCTACCGGGCTCGTCGGTGTTCTAGAAGCCGATCGAATTCCCCATCAACACTCTGCCCGAACACCTCGTCGAGCGACCCTGGTCGTCACGTTGGAAGGTGTTGTATCAGAGGCTCCGGCGTAAACGTTGGCTATGGATGGAGGCGTTGCTCGAACCCATCGCGACCTTGCCGTGACGTGGATGTGTCCGTTCGCGGCGGTGATGTCACTCGGAGTGGTTGGTGACAGGCGGTCGGGATTTGCTGGAATAATCCGCGTGTTACGCCCCCTGCATATTGCAACAACAAAGTCTGCACGTTCCGCTACACCTCGCATCCAAAATATTCGGTGGTCCTTCGTAGCAGGGGCTTTTCGAAACAGCGTGCTCGGAACTCATTCAGCTCTCTCTCTGTTGTCTCTGGGGCACGCACCAATGTTTACCACGTCGTTTGGCCGATGGCGTTGGGTTTCATCATCATGTTTTCATATCGCACGAGGAGCTGTTGCGCGTGGGGCGGGAAGGGGGTCGGGGAATTTTACCAGGGCATTGATGGACACATGAGCTATAACTTTAACCGCGTTGCGAGTACGAACTGCATGTGGGCACGTTCGTTATTGTCTGAAGGCGAGCGATGCAGCCCCATTAAAAGTGTCTATCTTGAGCGGCTTGTGTTGAGAGGCATCAGTTTTGAGGTGGTGTTGTTGAGCTGAGAGGGGCGCGTGTGGGTATAGATTGAATTCTTGCGCGGAAAGAGTTTGCAGGTTCGTTCATTTGTCGTTGTTTTTGTCAAAAGTCACAGCTTTGTAAATTTCGGTGCTGCACTACATAGGCTACTGCCGTAGTGAGGATGTGGAGTCTTTTGTGCACAGGGTATGACAAGCATCGTCATCTTGTGTGTGCGATTGGACAAACGTTGGAGGCGTTGTTGTGGTGGCATGTACTGCTGCGGGCCTTCGTTTTCCCTGTGTATTGGAGGGGGTTACCAGGCACTCCAAGATGTGCTGATCTGTGGGGATTGTGGTTTGGTGCTTGCGTGGTGTGTGGTACGGGCGCAGGGCGGGAGATGATCGCAGGGCACAGGGCCAACAGGGCAACACGCCGAAATCAATAAAATCAGAAGCCATTATATGAGGTGTTCTTCTCTCTCAGCAATCAGTATCAGAACTGTTTCGCTCAGCTGGACAGAGTGGAATACATCCGTCCGTCAAGCCGTTCAACCTATCTATGGCAATTTAGCTCGACAGAACTGGAATACGTGCTTTCTTCGTCAAGCCATTTAACCTATCTATGATGGTTTCAGTTGTGTCAGTGGCGAAACGTCTATCGACATCTATTTATCTCCAACAGCGACGAAACCTAGACCACCCGCTAACGACAATCAATGCCCACTAGACTACCGGAGAAACTACTGCTTCAACAAACATGTCGTAGTGGTCACTGCCGCCTACCAAAAACGCTTAAACACTGCCTGACTGAATAACAATGGGTGCTGGTCATGTCTTCCATTGGTTGGTCGTGCCGACGGTTACGGATTTTTTTTTCGGACGCCTTTCGCTGAAATGTAGACTGCTAATATATATCAGAGCCTTTTCCTGGAACGTGTGTCTCTGATGCACCAGAAGATGGACGGACGCAGTTAATGACCGGCGACTCAATAGTACTTGTCGACGAAGAGAGGTAGGTGAATACACGGGCAATACATTCCCAACGAGGAGGACCACAACTAACATCTGCTGCTGCATCTAACTGACGGAGGAAAACCATCACAGCAAGGTTTCCCCTAGAGATTTCCCCGCTCTAGTCTATAACCGCAGTAGCTCCCCGCGCCGGTGGCAGCCAGTGGCTCTCTCCAAGGAGGACGCTGTCCCCAGCCCTTATTCTAGATGTAAATCGCAACATGTACGTACATGCATGATGCTTGGGGGTGTACACATCATGTGCGCACATTCTACATGTTAGAATTTTGTCTGGCGTATGTTTGCCTACATTCATGCATACATATACATGGCTGTCCTCCTCTACCAATTCTCAATACTTGCAGAATACAACGAACGACCTTGCATGATGTATGTGAGTGAACTAGCCACCAACTTACGGATACCTTCGGATAACAACTTGCAACGAACGTCGTTGCCAGCAAAAACCTACAAACAACCTGGCATCCTATCTTCATCCTATCTTCGGATGGATGCAACAACGAACGGGCGTTGTTGCACAAACGAACGGCTGGGCATAAGTCCTGCCGTGCTATGCATACCAACCATCTGTCCTTTCGACACAGCCGTAAGTTTGTTTTGTTGTTTCTCACGTATGTGTCACCTGGGGGACATAACGTCTCTCGGGCACCACCAGGAAAATGACTCGATTTTTTGTCGTCAGCACCCTGCATACACCTGATGCGATGTTCTCAGAGCAGATTATCCAAGGGGTACAGAACGCGGAGTTTCATTTTCGGAAGAAATCGGTTGCCATTGCCACGTGCACAGTTTGCTGCGCCGTGGACCATCGTTTCTCTCTCACGCGATCGCGTCATTCGCGGGGTGTATCTCGGGGGGTAAAACAATATCTACGATTAGCTCGCTCGTTGAGGTATGTAGCCTAGCAATGATGAGACAGCAGTCAAAGAGAAGGCGGCGATATATGAATGGCGGTCCAGCTACATACGGACAGCGCTTCCCATTGACGCTGAACTCTTTGTTGTTCACTGGTAGAGGTGGAATGTGCACGCTACTGCGGTTGGTGTTTTTCTTGAAGACCCCGGCGGCGCAAACCATCAAGGTAGAAGGTAGCAACAAAACCAAAATAAAAAATTCAAAATTTCAAAATCTTTGCCGGTGCCAACTGTTGCCGGTGACGCTCCTCTCTTTACTTGCTCATCCACACACACACCAGCTAGATACGCTGCGCATCAGGCACGATAAGAAGCGAAAAGACTGAGGGCACAGCAGACTCCTCCTCCTCCTCCCAGGGAGTACTGCTGTATCCGCCACGGTCGGGCTTTCTGCGGTGGTGGTGGTGGTGGTGGTGGTGCTGAAATCTCTTCTGAATTGAAGAACGGCAACCCCTTCGAAAGCTTGCACCAGGGCACACCTGACCTGACGCTAAACTTCGCGCGGTCCGCAGGACCAAAATCGCCGAAGGCGCGCGCGCCCCTCTCCGGCCAATCAAGTTGCTCCAAATTTACCGACACCTACCACTCCCGCAGGGAAGATCCGCCCACAACTTAACCCCCACCCACCTGTCCGCACACAGACACACACAACCCAGACTGCAGAGCCATCTCATCTCACATCATCATCCGACCGGGAGAAGAGTGAGGAATTTTTGCGAAAAGAATCGATCGGCAGACAGGGGAAGAAGAGAGAGACGTTGGCCAAGCCGAAAGTGCGGAGGAGTTTACAGTGCAACAACGAGAGCATAGGTAAGAGAGAGAGTGTGTGTGTGTGTGAGAGAGAGAGAGAGGGAGAGATCAGAGGTGACATGGGTGTCGAACGCGCACCCCCTCTTGCCGTTCACTGCCTGCGGTCTTCGGAATGAGTGAAAAACATGTTTGTGCAAGAAGTTGCGGTTTGTTGTGGCAAGAGGAGTGTGTGGATATATATGTGACTGCTGCTGGATGTGCCTCTACGTATCTTCAGTCCGTGACGATGAAACGAGGCACGCGCACCATGGACCGCCGTTTGTCAACAGCAACAGTAGCGCCTGTCTGGCCCTGACATGTTTGTCACCTAGAAAAGCTCGCGCCCAGCAAAAGCACCTGCTCTCAGGGCAACATTCATTCGGTCCGCCGCTTATGCCCGATCTATCCGGCCGGCCAAAAATATTGCCCCAGGGACCTAATTTTTGTTGTCTTGGGTGCTGTGTCCGCGGAGATTCGAAGTTGGCACATTTCCGGGCTCACCTACAGCAAGATGCTGCCGTCCATCCCCAAGCCCACGCGAGAGGGAGAGCAAAAGGGCTCGCTCGTGTCTGCACACTCAAAGCAATGAGCTTGCCGGTGGTTGCTCTCTATCCCCTCCACCCATTTTTTTCTCGCCCATTAACTCGGTGTGTATGAAGTATTATTTTCTCGAGCAGCATGATACATTGAACGGGATGGATCCTGCTGTGAATTATTTTCTGGGGTGGTGCGCTTCCGGCTGCGCACGGGCATGACTTTTTATACCCCGGGGCAAATATATGCTCTTGCCTTTTCTTGAACCACACACCGCAGGAGCACAACGTCCGCAACGCAGCAAGCAGCAGCATCATGCACTTAAACGACTGGCCACTCGCATCGCATCGCCGCCACCATGAGCGGCAGCGCCGATCCAGTGGAGATCATGGCATCGAAGGTTCCAATCACGGCGGTTTTGGTTCAACAGGAAGAAGAGCCACGTATCCTGGCCACAGCAGCAGCAGCGTCGCGCTGTCACCCTCGCTGGTATCGATTTCCCCTGGCGTGCTCTCCGGCGGCAGCATGAGCGTCAGCAACAGCAGCGTCGCCTCGACCGCTGCCTCGACGGCATCCCCCACAGCAGGGACGAACCCATGCTACCAGCAGCACCAGCAGCCTTCGTACGGCAACAACGGTAAGCAGACCGCGGGATCGGTCGTGCGCCATTCCATTTTGAAAATAGCAATTGGGCGGGTGTAGGACGCAATAAGCTCGGAGCCATCCGCTCGCGAACATGAGTGATACGGCACAACCCAAACTTCGCTAAACTTCGCTCGTTCTGTTGTGCATACATACTGTAGCAGTCAGTGGCACCCGGCGAGGCTCGCGCATCTACCTACATCTCCGAATTCCGCGCTCCCTCTTTCTCTCGTACGCAAGCCTTAAAAAACCACCCCCCGAAACCTGTAGCGAAACAAATTGCAAAGCCGCCTCAAAAGAGGGTGAACATTGAAAAAGGTTCCGATCTGTGCTCAGTTTGGCGTTCAGCAGTAGTACCCCTCAACTTCCGTAATGGTTGCACTGGCGCCAGCGGGTCCCTAGGGTGATCAGTCATGCACAGGCGAGAGACCAACATAGGAGCGTTCCGTGACTACAAATGCAATCTCGGTTTCGTTCGGCCTTCGCCCGCGGGCAAAGACCGCGGGCAACATCTTCCCAGCCTGTGCACAGGTAACAGGTGTGTGGCCAAAACAGGAGGTCTGCAGTTTTTGGAATTTTGACGTTCGAGAAAATCAAGGACCCATGGACACATCATGATAAATTTGTCATTAGTTCTGATCATGGGTTCCGCTTCGAGCCCTACCTTTTCATCCTGCTCATGACGCATTTTTATCCGTGTGTCCAACCAAGCCTCAGACAAGCAAGTCTTTATAACCCCCCGGGAGAGAGGGTCCATTGCATGTGATGGGCGAACCGTTGTGCATCGACCAGTTGTTGTGCGTACTACTACTGTAAGATATTCGCACATCCTTCGAAGTACCTCGTTGTGTGGGGGTGTGACCCTTGGGCCGGAGACACCAGGCCGGAGACACCAACAAAAGACGAGGCGCTCGCGGGGGCATGCGGGACCGACAAGAAAACCACGAAAAATAATTTTGCGGCAATTATCCATTTGCGCATTCGTTACCGCCGTGTGTGGTGGTCTGCTGAGGACGCAGGGCAGCCGCAGTTAACCCAGAAGAGCTACACTTGCGGTTACAGAAACAGCGCAGTGTTGTATGCAAATTGTTCATGTCGAACGGCTATCCAAACGGACAGCAACCTCAATAATTGATTCCGTGCGGCAAGCAGTAAGCACGGGTCTCGGGTTGGTGATGACTTGTTTCTAGATGCAAGGCCGCGAGCGAGCGACGCAAGAAAATATGCTTCCACTTCGTATGAATTCACCATTATTTGATATTATACTGTTGTGTAAACATGCCACGTTGTAGGATCGGATCGGATCTCTTTGGGCAAGAGATAAACGAAGTGGGTGGGTAGATAAGACCCCAACAGTTGCGAACGGTTGGATGTAAAACGGCGGTTGGCTTTGTGTCACGTGTAAGAAAATAATATAAAGAAAGAAGGATCCACAAGATCTACAAAGAAAACGTCATGACATGTGCTGCCCGATATTTTCCGTGCCCCCCGATATTTTTTCACCGCAATTGTTGGCAGCCGCGCCCTCCCTTCATGAGCACACACATGCGGATCAATCAAGGGGCACCCTTGAGCATGACCCCCCCTCCCCCCCCCTCCCCCACATAGACATTGGACTCGACGAACACTGGCGGACGGACTCGGGAGCTACTTCCACCTGCTCCAGCGGCGCCGATGAGCTCCTCTCGACAGCGGGCGGCGCGAGGGTGGAGAACGTCGGCAGCGTCGAGGGAAGGTGTCCCCAGTTCGAGCAGCTGCAGATGCCCCGGGGAGGGGGGTCGCCGTCAAGCCACCACGACGGCGCGTTCCGGGACAGCCGGATCAACTACAACATGAAAAACCGGAACGCGACCGGTCACGGCATCAACAGCGGGACATTCGCAGATGGCGCGCTGTCCGCGTTGACCGGCGGGGGCGACAACTTGTACGCCCGGCAGGGGCACCAGTGTTCGCCGCCCCCCCCCCAGAGACAGCAGCCGAACCACAGATGCGACGTTGGTTCCTGGCCACCCACCCACGTGTTCCCCGACGACTTGGAGATTCTCCTCGAAGAAGATGCCGGGGACGAGGGCGACGAGAGTTGCGACTCCCCCGGCGTCTCGTGCACCCCCAACATCAACACACAGAAGCAGCAGCAGCAGCAGCAGCCGCCGCTCAAGATGGAATTGCCCAGGTGGGTGGTGTGGATGGGTTTCACCCTCCGACCAAACAGAGTGTTTTGTTCTTATGGTTGGGTTTCCTGTTTCACACCGTTTCCTCTGTATGCTCACCCCCCAGCGTAGTCGCAGGCACAAGTCGTCGAGACCTCAGTCTTCGTGCTCGAAGCGATTTTTTTCCCAACCTCCGGGGTCTTTCCTATTCATTGCTTGTTTGCGGCATCGCCCTTCTGTGGCACACCTCTTGGTTGCTTGTGCTGCCAACGTCCTGTCCTCAACACATAACGCACCCCCCCCCCCCCCCCC